TAGGGAAAGTAGTATACTACACTGTGCTAAAGATCCACCTGTTGGCTAGTATTTAGTGGGATTTTAAAGGCATTATTTATATAGAATCACGGTGTAACAGCATTTCAAGGAAAAAAATTTTCTCATGTTTCAGTTATCAAGTAATGCTGATGGGAAAGTTTGTTTTCATTTGACTTTAGAAGTATTTACCAATGAAACACCACCTGGTACTTTACATCAGAAACCAAAAATCATTTTGGTTGAAAAGAACCTAATTGTATTTATCAGAATGAAGTTCTAGGAACTCAAGAGACTTTTTACACATTTGCCACAGCAGAAGCCTGAAAGTTTACATTACATTTGTAGAAACAATTATAACTTTTTCCTATCTGGTCTTTAAGGGCAATTTTAGCTTTAGGTTTTCAATAAAACTTGATTATTAGCACTTCACTGATGGACACAGGGATCCACCACATCTAGCAATGCTTCATAGTGCCAACTCATATAGTAAAGTCCTTGGGTTTTGCCTGAGAATTTTCTACAGTGGCCTAAGCTGTTCCTGAACCAGTTGATTATTCCCACTTGTAAACTACAATGTGGTATCCTCACCTGCAGGCCCTCAGTAAAACAGACTCAATGAGAGAAGGATGAAAAATTCCACTGGACAGTGCATGTAGATGCATCCTTATGAACAACTACTTGGTTCCACAGTACTTGGCTATCTGGACAGCTATGGTGATACTGATATTTATAACATATGCAGACTCAAAACCACATCAGATTTCTGATAAGCAATAAAAGCTGCTCCTCTTCTCATTTCCCTTAGATAAGGTTGTGAATGTTACACAACTAAGTACATTTAAGCAGAAAACAGGTGACAGATGCAAAACAGACAGTGTGGATTTAGACAAAAAATGACACTGACAGAATTATGGCCGTTTCAGAGAATTAATTTCAAATTCAGTTTTAACTTCTTGAGAAAATGGTACCATGAAATACTCAACACGAATTTATACTGAACATGAGAAGGCTCTACAGGGCCACATAGTATGAATATCTGCTGGCAGTTAAGTAGCTTTGGTGTTTCTCTAAGAAACAACCAATCTCCTCAGTCCTGCCAGAGACAATGTGCATTTCTGAAATCTCGTATGCTCAGAGCTATGAAGCCATATGCTTCTTCTGAGGCAAGGACAAACACACGTGCTTGTTGAGGCTGCCAAGTACCCACATCATAAACAAGATTATCTCCTTAGCTAAAGCCTAAGAAGTGCTACAGCATAAGTGCACAAATTGCTTTCACAAAAGCAGGACCTGTGTAGCTGTACATTTCATTACTTAATAGAGAATGATTAAAGCAAGAAGTCAGCACTGATAAAGAAGAGAGCCTGTCATTCCCAAAATGGAATTGATTATCCAAGATGAAATCACACCAGTGTTGTCATCCAGTCATGCTGCTACTTCCAGGTCATCCCCCTTGCAAGATGTGATGTTAGCACAAATTGGTTCTGTTTATCACACAATCTTCTTTCTTCCAATACTATCGACAGCAATGTTTTTACCAAAACATAATTTAATAGGGTTTCACTTTTGCTAGTAATTTCTCACATTTCTTTCACTCTTCATCCCTTCCTTCAGCTAGAAGAGCAGAAGGCATATTATCATTTTTCCATGTGGGGCATGATGAGGATTCCCATGGACAGCAGACCAGATTCAATAGACCCTCTTTCACCGTCCTTTCCCTCTGCTGCTCACATGCACCCTTGTGCCAGTGCAACTGAGAGGGCAGCACTGCTGTTTGTGCAGCTGCACATACCAGAGAAAGTGATTCAGGCTAAAACATAACACGGGGGAGAGGAAGTTATTTTAATGCAAATCAATTCATGTGTCCATTTCACCATAAAGGCAAAGCCAGTATAAAGCAGAGGGTCAGAGATGGCTTAAATGCCATCTCTGCAGAAAGAATTGCTCAAACTGCTCAAAACAAATCACTGAAACGCAACAGTAGAAACAGTGATTTGGGGCACGGACATGTGGCTTAGGCTGGGATTCCTGGTAGAATGAAGCATGAGGATTACCAGGCACCTGGCTCAGGACTGTGCTCAGATTCCCATGTTTTGCATCCTAATCTGGACACCTAACTTTAAGGTCTCTGGCTATAGAAGAAAGCAGTTCATCTTTTTAACCCCTCTATAGCCAATTTTTGAGACTGCTGAAAACAACCCCTGCTCCTTTCCTCCTTCCATTCTTCTGCTTTTAAACATTCCTCCTGCCTTCTGCACCAAGACAGAGCCCAACGGAAAACATCTCCAAAAAAAGCCAGAGTCAACAGCAGTAAGTCTGTAGTCAGTCTGCATGCTGCTGAGTCTCAGAAAAACCACAACCACTATGAGAAATGCTGGTGTTATCTAGCCTAAATTGGACACCTTAAGTGAATGCCTGCCAGTGCAGCACTGTCTGAAAATAAATATTTAAAACTACCTTGTACTCTGTGAAAACTTAAAATTCTGTTAAAAAACATGGGTTTAACCAGAGAACATACAAACCCACTATTTACTTGTAACTTGGACATTTTATTCTTTTACTTCTTTAAACATGCATTGTAGTCTCACTGCCTATTTTTAATTATGAGACCACCAGTTTAATTATGAAGTCACCAACCTCTGGATTTATGGTTACTAAACTGTGTGTTTTAAGACAAATTCTTAAAATAGTTTAAAATTCAAGGCAGTGGCACTTTTTTTTTTTTTTTTTAATCACTTATGCATTCACTGAAAGCAATAATGAAGAATTGCTGGCTGGCTAAGTGAAACAGTATGCAGACATCACTTGTTCATCTTCTTGGGAAGGCTGCCAAATGAAAGCATATGATGGCTGTATGGCTGAAGGTGCTGTGTTGGGTGACAGAGCACTGGTAAAACAATAGCTGACTCTGCACATTTTAACTCCTACTTCTAGATTTTCCCCTGGATAAAACAGAAACACATTTACTAAAGTATCTTTATATTCTGCTTCCAGAAGATCTGTGGCTGACAAAAGGATTCTCAGTTCTTTAGCATTCCTCTTCCTTTGTTGGCAGAGAACAAGAGTTTGTTTGTTTGTTTTTTTTTTATTTTGTGGAAAAGCGTATTTAGTCAAGTTAAAAAGTTTCTGAATCAACACCTGAGCCTGTGGCCTTAGAGATTTATTTTCCATTTCCCCAACACAGAAAACCCAGCTGTGCCTAAGAAAATTGCTTTATGCAAAGAATAGGAAAATAATGACCGCAAACATAAAAAAATGCAGTGACATCAAGAATCTACATCCACAAAAAAAGAGGGAGTGGAAGAAAGACAGCTTCCAACCCCAGAACACCAAATTCAGTAAAGTAAGTGTCCAAACTACACTGAAATCTCTTTGATGGGAGTGGGAGGAGAGGCTGGTATGGCTTTGTGGAATTCTTTAATGTGGCTTCATTGTTAGATGTCTTACTAGCAGTAGGGT